TAGGAGATTTACAAAATATCTTCATGGAACATGATCTTTACTCAATATCCTAATGATTTTTGGCATAAAAGAGAAATGTATAATTGTGACCCATACAATGTATTGTTGGCTATTGCTACAAATATCCCCCAGCGACTTAACACTGCTTTTGTGCTGCAGGGTCACATATGTGAATCTGAAGTGGTTTCTCTTACGTTCTTCATTTTGAAGGACTCTTCCTCGAGTCTCTCTACAGCCAGGATGTTCTCAATAGGGATGCTGCACAGAGCGCCCTCTCCTGGACACAACCACAGACACACATCAGCACTGATGACCACACAGACACATCAGCAACCAACACAAAACAGACTGAACACTTAAGGATGGATGTACAAACGGACAGGAAAACGTTTGAGTGATTCGTGTAAAGCAGTGTGTTCTGCAAGGTTTCTGTGTGTTCTGCTCAGTCTTTGTCTCTGGTGTCCACTACATCTTTAAAAAACATTTTTTCTGTACCTATATTTCTATATATGACTGTTTTCATATATTTTTAAGTCTTTGGGATCGGTAAGATTTTTAAATGTTTTTGAAAGAAATTTTTTCTGCTCACTGAGGCTGCATTTATTTGGTTAAAAATACAGTAAAAATTGTGTAATATTTTTACTATTTAAAACAGAGCTGTTTTCTATGTGAGTATCTGTTAAACTGTAATGTATTTCTGTGATGCGCAGCTGTATTTTCAGCATCATTCCTCCAGTCTTCAGTGTCACATGATCTTCAGAAATCAGTATAATATGCTGATCTGCTGCTCGAGAAACATTTCTGATTATTATCAATGCTGAAAACAGTCGTGCTGCACAATATTTCTGTGGAAACTGTGATGCATTTTATTTTTCAGGATTCACAGATGATCAGAAAGTTCAGAAGAACAGCATTTATTTGAATTATTATTACGTTTGTAACATTATAAATGTCTTTACTGTCACTTTTGATCAATTTAATGCATCCTTGATGAAAAAAAGTGTTCTTTTTTTTTTTTTTTAATCTTACTGACCCCAAATTTTTCAAATGTACTGTATATTTGCCATTATTTCTATTTCTATTATAATTTTGAAAAACACATATATTTATAGTTTTGAAGTAAAATAAACTTTTTTAAATTGTAACAGTTCATGCATCAAAGAGAATCAGTGTTTTTACAGTAATTACCAACTCAAATGTTTCTTTATATGGCGTGTTATTCAGATATTCATTAGTGTTGATGTTCTGTTTCTTCACAAACACAGATGAACAGCAGACGCCTCACACACCTGTAGACAGAGTATGGGACAAACCTTTTGCGTTACCTTTGGTTTTGTGGTAGGTGAACTCGTGGTTGGTCAGGCGGAACCATCTCGACTTGAAGTTCTTCAGACCGAAGCGGTTTCGTCCTTGCGCTCGTTTGATCATGAATCTGGAAGATCAGAGAACCAGTCTAAACTCAAACTCAAACACTAACTACATATTAATAGTCAACTCGTTCTGATGCAACAAAACCAACCACTGCACTCATTAATCATATTACTGATTATTTTCACAATAAACATCTTGCATCTGTTCTGGGATTCTGTTGAGTAACTGCTGATGTATATTTGTCTTCTGAATGTATAATGGGCATTTTTACATTTGCAAAATTTGTTGAATTAATTCTAGTAAATATTGTGTTAAAATAAGTGTATATTTAATTTCTGCTTTCCAGGTTATTCTAGTTTATTAAACCTAAAACCATTTAAAAAAATGTTTTTGTTACTTGAAATAAACTTTATGAAATAAAATATATTAAAAAAATTAATTTACCATTTTTATAACTGAATTTTATTTCAGTTAGCTGCCAAGGCAACACTTCACATTTTTGTTTATTATACTACAATAACTAAAATGAAATAAACTAAAATTATTAAATACAAATGAATAAAAACTATATATACATATTTTAAAATAACACTTTTTTTTTTACTTTAACTTGAAGTTCCAAATTAAGTCAAACTAAACAATAAAAAAAAAAATTATATAGACATGATAAAAATGAAAAACAAAAAAAAACATAAAAATAAAATAAATATAAAAAAATGTATTTATTATTTTTATGACTGAATTTTATTTCAGCTAGTTGCCAAGGCAACACTTCACATTTTTTGCTTATTATACTTGAAGTACTACAATAACTAAAATGAAATAAACTAAAATTATTATATATACATATTTTTAAATAAATAAAAAACATTTTTTACTTTAACTTGAAGTTCCAAACTAAGTAAAACTAAACAAACTAAAATGAAAAAAAAAGTAAATAAACAAATAAATTATATAGACATGATAAAAATGACAAACAAAAAACATACAAATAAAATAAATATAAAAAATTTTATTCACCATTTTTATAACTGAATTTTATTCAGCTAGTTGCCAAGGCAACACTTCACATTTTTTGCTTATTATACTTGAAGTACTACAATAACTAAAATTAAATAAACTAAGATTATTAAAAACTATATATATACATATTTTAAAATAACTATATATTTTTTTACTTTAACTTGAAGTACCAAATTAAGTAAAACTAAACAAACTAAAATGAATAAATAAAAATTAATTATTCATAATAAAAATGACAAACAAAAAAACATAAAAATACTAAAACTTTAACTGAAATTAAACGGAAAGATAATACCAAAAAATAAAACCTAATTCAAAACATTAACAAAAACTGTAACAGTAAATCTATGGTACGTAAATAACACTGATGCAGTCTTATTACTAGCAGATTATTGTCTCCAGATCTCAGCAGCGTCTCAAACTGTGCTCATATAAGCATATATATTTCTCATATATATTATATATATATATTTCTCGTCTAAGAGCAAGTTCAGTGAAACCTCGCCGAGAGTCTCATGCTCTCTGAAGGGTTTGCACACTAGAAAGGGTGCGTGTGTCTGTGCTCACTAACAGGCAGGGATGGCCAGTATTTATGATACATGTATTTCAAATACATATTTCAAATATAAAATAGGATTTGATAGGGTTGATGAAAATGGCTTCATATTTTGTATCAAAATACTTCAGTGCTATTGTAGTTTTAAAATACTTTGTAACAAGTCTACGTGATGACATCATAAAAACACTCGTTACTACACTATTAATGTGTTTATGTGTCCTCTATACTTCTACGGCTCTCAATAGATTCAGTGGTTGGAGTTGAAGTTCTGTTGCTACTTTCTGATTACGTTTCTCTAAATCAAAACATATTGATCATTTAATAATTGTTGAAATGCTAAAATGTTAAAATCCAAATAGGTGTCCAATGTTTGCTAAATAAATATTTGATTGCTTAATATTGTACCCTAATTGAAGTCTAATCCGAACCCTAATCAACTTATAGATAGATCAATTGATGGAAGGTTTGCTAAGAAATTGTAAAAGTATTTTTAAAATACAAAAATACAGTAGTTTATTTTGATACAAGGTGTGGCTGCTGTATTTTGTCGTTTATTTTGATACACTTAAAAGCCCAACCCTGCTAACAGGAAAGGGAGAGACCAGCAGGAACATCAGGAGAACAACAGAGACACCGGGTCAGGGGGTTAAGGGTCAAAGGTCACAACGCCAGCTTACCTGCCAGAGCCTTTGGCATCAAACCTCTTAATAAGGAGTTTAACGCTCCTGCGTCCAGCAGAGAAACACACACACACACACACACACATGCTGATTGTTCTGGCACTAATACAGTGAGCTGTGAGGGCTGTGAGCGTCTCTCACCCTTCCTTCAGCATGATGGGCGTCTCGATGCTCTTCTGATCCCAGCGGGCCGAGGACGAGATCAGATCCAGGAACTGCCACACAGACACACGCGGCTCACATCAGCATCTCTGATATAGATATACATTCAAGAAACGGCTAAAAACACATCTCTTCCCTCTAGCCTTGACCTAACGCTCTCAATTCTTTTTCTTTACTACTTGTTTTCTTTTTATTCAAAAAACAATCTTCTAACACTAACGTTCTCAATTCTTTTTTTATTCTATCTACTCATTTTCTAACACTAACACTACAGGAATATATATATATATATATATATGATAGGCACTCACGTTCTTCACTGCATCGGCGTACTTCTGCTCGTTGAAGTAGTCGTAGAACGCAGCCATGTAGGACTCTTTGAAATTGGCCTGCCAGAGAGAGACGAGAGCGTTCATTATTTTACGAAGAGGAACAGCACAGAAGTGTTTTTTCTGTCATGTCATCATCACTACATTTTGATGAGTTATGGAGTATATAAAAAAAAAAACATTAAATCTACATATGTATTTTTTTGTGCAAAAATGTGTCTTTCTGTTCAACCTCGTTATGCTATGACATTACCCGCTTTTAAAAATAATGGTTTGTTTTTGGTCATTTAAATCAAGCTGAAATCAAATTAAATATAAATATTACATTAAATATTTAAAAAAAATATCTGAAGTGTTGCCTTGGCAACAAACTGAAATACAATAAGTTCAACTAAAATTGAAAGAAAAAGAAAATAATTCAGGTTATATACTGTAAAAACACAGAAAAATCCTAAAAACTAATAAATGACAAAAGCACATTTAAAAAATTTAAAAAAATTTTTTTATAAAAATGTTTTATTCAAGCTATATAGAATTACATAAAAAACGAATAAAAATACGAAAAGCATGTAACAAAATTACTAAAGCTAAAAGAAAAAATATAAAAAATATAAAAAATTGAAGATGTCACAAGCACAAAATGAAATGTCTAAAACTGAAAGATAAATTAAAGCTATAAAGTAATATCTAAAAACGAATAAAAATAGCACATAACAAAATGACTGAAACTGGAAGAAAAATGTATTGAAGCTATATAAAAATATATATTAAGATGACAGAAGCACATAAGAAAAGTACTAAAACGTAAAATAAAATAAAAAATAAAACTGAAAATATAAAAATAAATCATTCAAATATTAATAAATATTATAATAGTATATAAACAATATTAAAATAACACTGGATTATATTTCAGAAAGTGACATCATAACAGAAAAAGGACAGTTTCTCTTATAGTGTTTATTAATTATATTTACAATGGTTTAATATGATACTATGTGAATATTATATTACATTATATGCATTATATTACGTTATCGCACAAATAATGTAGCACATCAGGATTTGTAACGGTAAATACCTATTGATAGTGTTCACTTACAGATTTGGACTTGGCCAGGCTTCCCAGAGTTTGGATGGTTTTGGAAATGAGCGTCAGCGTCCGAGACGTGTGCGGATCCTTTACAGAGACAAAAATGATCAAAATAACACATCCGGTTAAATATTAGATGGAAAACAGAGAGGAGGCGGTACACACCGGGTGATGAGGACGCAGCTGGAAGAGGTTCGGAGAGAGGATGGCGGGAGCAAAGAAACGGAGGAAGATGAAACTGCTAACAGCTGTGTACCGCACATCCGGGTCAACTGCAAAAACACACACGCCACCAATTAGGGATGCAACGATTAACCGCGAGCCGATTCAAATAGATTTATAATGTTCCTGTGGCTCAGTGGTAGAGCATTGCGTTAGCAGTGCAAAAGGTTGTGGGTTTGATTCCCAGAGAACACACTTACTGGTAAAAAATGTACAGCCTGAATGCACTGTAAGTCGCTTTGGATAAAAGCATCTGCTAAATGCATAAATTAATTAATTATTATGAATGTATGTCTGAGGGGAACTGACTGTCTTTAGAAATGTTTAGATGGTATTTTTTCTTTTCCTCTTGCCTCTGTATAATGCATATTAACGTTCATATGCGCAGCACTGCTTTGTTTACAGCGGAAACCGAGGAAACGCTTTAAGCGCCACCAGCTGGCAGAGAGTGAATCTGCGTCTCATTCAGCTCGTCCGCTGTTTCATGCAGATATTTTTATGTATAGTTTCACCCTAACCCTAAGTCAAACCATATCGTTTTTGCTTCAAATTTCTAAATTATACAATTAATTATACAATTATAAAATTTTTAGATTAAAAACTGCTCATGTTGTATGTATGCAGCATCTTTGTTTGGATCAAGAATAAATGCAGTGGTTGCCTCTAATTTTAAATGGAAAGAGCACAGACAAAGCCTTATTTTGTTTATATGAAGAGATTTATTTTATTTGTGTTACTTATTTATTTTATTTGGGGCTTGTTTTAAAATGTCAATGTAGTTTTGTTATTTACATTTACATTATATTTAAATTTTGTCATTTAGCAGATGCTTTTGTCCAAAGCGACTTACAAATGAGGACAATAGAAGCAATCAAAACCAACAAAAGAGAAGTAATACGCAAGTGCTATATTAGTATATTATTACAGTGTTATATTTCAATTTCACAAAGAAATGTGCAGCATTTTGTCCAAGTAATAATAACAGGACACATTTAAATTTATATATAATAATCGTGAATCGAATCGAAAAATCTAAATCGTGAATCGAATCGAATCGTGAGTTAAGTGAATCGTTACATCCCTAGCTACCAGGGATTTTGAAATTTTGCGAGCTCTGGAGCAGCAGCATTAGTGTGATCAGACTCAAAAAGCTCACAGGAGTCTGAATGTATTTTAACAATCCCCCCATTAATTGGGTCCCTTTCTGAAAATGCTGACTAGGGATGGATGGATTAAACAAACTGAGCCACCTCAGTAAAAGTATTGTATAGAGAAAAATGGCAAGAAGATACTAACATTTTAAAAACAACATTAAATAAATAAATGACTGGTATACAGTAGTAAGGTACAAAGGCTATGTAACTGTTAAAGGGACTGTTTTCCCAATAAATTGTCATAATTTACTCACCTTCATGTTGTTCCAAACCTGTATGACTTTCTTTCACAAAATACAAAAGACATTTTAGCAAAACCAAAGACTCAGTCACCATTCACAATTGTGTGGAAAACACATGCAATGAAAGTCAATGGTGACTGAGGCTGTTAGCGCTTAATATTCTGGCTAAGATTTGCTTTTGTTGTCTGCCAGCCCATCAACAGTCTGTGAAAACAAAAATAAATTAGCTTTTGCTCTCTCATGCATCGCCTCTAAGTTAACCCATTTACTGTAAAAAACTTGTGACAAAACATGGTTTAGCTCGTCTGCTGTTTCTGTTTCATGCTGATATTTTTATGTATAGTTTCACAAAATTGAAGTCAAACCATTCTGTTTTTGCTTCAGATTTCGAAATTATACAATCTAATTTAGATTAAAAACTGCTCGTGTTGCATGTACGCAGCATCTTTGTTTGGATCGTGATTAAAATGCAGTGGTTGCCTCTAATTTTAAAAGGAAAGAGCACAGACAAAGCCTTAGTTTATTTATATGAAGAGATTTATTTGTGTTACTTATTTATTTAATTTGGGGCTTGTTTTAAAATCTCAACCAAGCCACCATCATCACCATCACCATCACGGATCACTTTACTGAAGCCTCTGGACTAAAACAAAGCCAATCTGGTTCCCTGCAGTGTTCATTTGTGATCTGAAGGTGGCAGTATAACACTGACAATTCAACGCAGCAGCTAAAGTAAACAGAAGGCAGTGCAGAACACAAGAACAAGTATGAGGGAAACAAACGCCTGATTACAGGACACTTATTACTGTCATCAAACTCCTGCTGGTTCAGTCTTAATGCATGTGACTGCCTTCCAGCTGCTTGAGACCATAAAACTGCTAATAAACAGAAAACTATAAAACTAAAAATGATTAAAAAACATTTTCAGGTAATTGCAATCAAGCTAAAAAAAAAGAATAAATAAATATTATATAAAAAATTTAACTTAGAAATGAGAAATGCTGCCTTGGCTACAAACTAAATCTAAAATAGTTGAAATTATTCAAACTAAACAAAAGAAATATTAATTAAAGCTATATAGAAATATTTAAATAATAATAATAAAAATACACCGACAAATATACAAATAACAATTTAACCAAAACCTAAACTACTGAAAATATAAAAATAACAGCTTATTCAAAAATAATAGTTTGATCTTTACAGAATAGTTATTGTTAACTAAAACTATTAAAATATTTTGTAGTAATTGAAAGCAAGCTGAAATACAGTAAATATTAGATGAAAAACTTGTCTCTTCTGCTGGTGTGAGCGTTTACCCTCGAAGCGTGACGCCGCAGACTCTCGCAGCGAGAAGAAGATGTCACCCATGACCGTCGGGCAGCTCACACCCGAGCTGGTGATCACGTTAAAGATCCGGTCCACGTACTGACGCAAGTTTTCCTGAGGATTCATATGGTACAATATATATGTTATTTAATCTAACTCATTAATTAATTGCCCTAAACCATTTAGACTCACCCTGTTGGCGTCCAAGTTCTCGGACTCCTTCAGTTTGACGGGGTCGATCTCGCAGGGTTTGTGGTCTGTGCAGATCTACAGGCAAACGACACGGTGAAGATATGACCAAAAATTAATATCTCTGTATTTTTTGGTGGCTGATAAATAGACCGTATGACAGACAGCAGCAGGTTTATTTAGGCTGCTGTCTCTTTAAGAGCTCATGCATGGATCTAATATACTGTTACACATGGCTCTATGCTTAGTTTTCTTTTTAGGAGCTTTCTTTTCTTTTAAAAAAATTTAGGAGCACCTTTTGATCGATAATCAAAAATGTGCCTTCCTAATACAAGGTGATATTTGACTCCTTAAGGTGATTTACAGGGGCATTTTCTTTTTACCTTTGCAATGGCATTTTTATAGGTTTATTAAAAGTATGTCATCTTCTATGTCAAATTCAAAAATGTATATTTATAAGATTTTTTAAATTTCTAATAAAAACGATATAATACGAAATAGAATAAGACAAATAAGTTACCAATCATATGAAATTAGTAGGTACATTGTAGGTACATTTTCAGACGTTTAATGAGGCTCAGAGGTGGCATGAATTCATAAATTCATGTTGAGATTAATGTTGTAAATATACAATTTTGAATATAGAAATATTAAATGATTTAAACAACTGAAATTAGATGTTAAAAGTGAATCTAAAACCGCCGACAGGTGGTGGCAAGTCACTGATATTTTCACTGAATCATTCATTGAATTGATTAGTTCGAACGGCTGATTCATTCAGGAACGAATCAAGTGACTGTCTTTATGAATGGCTAATTGAAACATCGACTCACTACGGTGAAGGCAGTGCTCGTGACGAGACTCAGACTGAGACAGACTCACTTCATCGATGATGGGTTTGAGCGTGACGCGCAGATAATGCATCCCCGCCAGCTTCATGGTCTCATCGATGCATTTAGACGTCAGCGAGTTTCCCCGGAATATGGTGTTGGGATCCCTGCAGGAGCGGGAGGAAGGTGAGGAAGACAAGGAAGGAGAATTCTGTACCAGTTTTGGGTAAGTTACTCAAGAAAAGTAATCCACTACAAATTACTAATTACTTTCTTAAAATTGTAATTTGATTACTGATTACTGCATTTAAAAAGTAATCAGATTACTTTACTTTCAAGTTAGTTTCATGTTTACTTTACTTTTCAAGTTATCAAACCTAAAAAATACACTACAAAGCGAAACTCATAATTCTTTCAGTAATTTAATATTGACTGAAAAATTACATAAATATCAAAACAGCAACTTGAACGATCACTTGCATATTTTCCTGACAGCAGTGAAAAGAACTTTAAATGTTTTGTAATTTTGCATCATACAGATAAGAGTAATACATCATTTGAAACTGTAAAATGTCAACTTTTATTTGTATACACTCGCATCATATCAACAAAACAAAACATTGTGCTTTTGTAAAATAAAGAAAACAAACAGGGTCCGCTTTCTGCCGTCTCAGTCTCCTGAAACGCATCACTAAAATGAACAAAGACTCAGCGAATACTTGACACAGACAAGAGAAATATATTTTAAAAAAAGCTTGAAGTGTCTATTTTTACGTCGAAAACAAATATTCTCTGATAAAGTAATCGCGAGTTACAGCCTTTCCCATCAGAGTTCATTATCTGTAACACGCACATCGCGCTCTTTAGGATAATCATCCACGTGAAACCAGGCTTGAGACGCGCGAACATTTAAACACCCACATCACCTCCGTAAATAAAGCATTAGGATTTATCAAGTTCATTTAGGATTCTTTTATTTTTGGAGGAAGATGCGCTGTGAGGAATAAGCTTTGAATTTACCTCAGAAGAAGAACGCGATGCGACGAGGATCTCATTCTGATGAGTCATTTATTTTTATTATATTAGTGTTATTGTGACTTGTACACACTTGTTCCCAAACTATAATGCCAGACTAAAATATGTGAAATGGAGTGCAACATTTTGAAATATGATACAAACATTTCATTGCATCTAAATGTTGTAGGACTCGTCTGCATTAGCTCGCATTCTCTGGTGATTTATTAAAGGCCATACTGATGGGCAAAACATGTTTTTTACTTCTTCTTTTTTTTATAACACTGCATTTGTAACTTAAGTAACGTAATTTTATTACGACACTACACTGTAGAAAATAAATAGTTGAGAAAACCTAAAACAAATAAGGCAACTTGATGCAGTAAGCAACAATAGTTTAAAAAGTTTTAAATAGTTTTAATTTTTTAGTTATTCTCGGTAAAGATACATTGTTTCGCCAACGTAAATTGGTTTGATCATGCATAGTAGAACAATTCTTGTCACATCAACTGAAACTACAATTACTGTGGTTGAGGTAATTTATTTTTAAAATGTAGTTTCCTGGATGAAAAAAAAAGACTGTGTAAAAAGTTGGGGCAACATTTAGGGTTATTTTGTTGGTCTGACAAGGATGCATTTACAAGAAAATAGCATTTTTTAGTATTTGAGACTTTTTATAGAATATTTTTGAAGTTTTCGTAAACTGGAAAATATGCAACTGCATTTTTTACAGTATATTAACTGTAATCAAATTACATAAATTTACGTTATCAGGAAAAGTAATTAGAATACAGTAACCCAACTCTGGTCTGTACTCACTGCGTGCGGCTGATCTCGGCGTGGGCGATGGCACTGAGGAAAGGCACGATTTTGCCATAGTGCAGGAAAAGTCGCACCAAAGGAACAGCCGCCTCCTGCTTCTCACGACACACCTCGCCCAAGATATGAGCCGCGGACGCTGAAACAGGCTGCAACACAAACACACCCCAAATCAACACCGCTAGAGAGATCACGACTGATCAATAATGACAAATGTGTCCCTGCAGCACAAAAGCAGTGTTAAGTCGCTGGGGGATATTTGTAGCAATAGCCAACAATATATTGTATGGGTCACAATTATACATTTCTCTTTTATGCCAAAAATCATTAGGATATTAAGTAAAGATCATGTTCCATGAAGATATTTAGTAAATCTCCTACCGTAAATATATCAAAACTTAATGTTTGATTAGTAATATGCATTGCTAAGAACTTCATTTGAACAACTTTAAAGATGATTTTCTCAATATTTAGATTTTTTTGCACCCTCAGATTCCAGATTTTCAAATATTGTCCGATCCTAACAAACCATACATCAATGGAAAGCTCATTTATTCAGCTTTCAGATGATGCATAAATCTAAATTTAAAAAAAAATTACCCTTATAACTGGTTTGTGGTCCAGGGTCTCAAACGAGATTTACTTGGAAAAACTTAAATGGGAATATGATCACCTCATACCTTTTTGAATCGCATTGTATTTTCTATTACTATTATTATTTATTCCAATTTATCTATTTATTCTTTTAGGATTTAACCGCTGTGATCTTTTGACTCGACTATACTTATACTACTATAAAAAATTATTTCATCAAACTCCTGCTCATTCAGTGAAATCTATGTTTAATGTATTATAGGTTACTATAGGTTAGTATTATATACTATATGTTATAGGTTACTATAGGTTAGTACTTTATACTATAGGTTACTAAAGGTTAGTATTATATACTATATGTTAATTAAAACTCACCTGCCTGTAGCTTCCTAATAACCATTCAGACCTTGATTAGCTTGTTCAGTTGTGTTTGATTAGGGTTGAAGCAAAACTCTGCAGGGCTGCAGCTCGCCAGGACCGACGTTCGCCACCCCTTTTCTATAGGTTACTATAGGTTAGTATGATATACTATAGGTTATAGGTTACTATAGGTTAGTACTATCTACTATAGGTTATAGGTTACTATAGGCTAGTACTATACACTATAGGTTACTATAGGTTAGTACTATATACTATAGGTTATAGGTTACTATAGGTTAGTATTATATACTATAGGTTACTATAGGTTAGAATTATATACTATATGTTATAGGTTACTATAGGTTAGTACTATATACTATAGTTTACTATAGGTTAGTACTATATACTATAGGTTATAGGTTACTATAGGTTAGTATTATATACTATAGGTTATAGGTTACTATAGGTTAGTACTATCTACTATAGGTTATAGGTTACTATAGGCTAGTATTATATACTTTGTTACTATAGGTTAGTATTATATACTATAGGTTATAGGTTACTATAGGCTAGTATTATATACTATAGGTTATAGGTTACTATAGGTTAGTACTATATACTATAGGTTACTATAGGTTAGTACTATCTACTATAGGTTATAGGTTACTATAGGTTAGTACTATATACTCAGTTTTCATCACTGACCTCGATGTGCGCCGACTGCAGCAGCAGGTCTCGGAGCGGGTTATAATGCTCCGTGGGGAACACATGGTCTTCCGTGTAAACGATGTTGAGTCGTAACGAGCCCAGCTCATCAGCCTTCACCGATTTATTGCCGTTATCTCTGGGCTGCAGGAAGTACCATGCGTCGTGAACACCCGACTGTCCCAGCACCTTCAGCGGCACCCGTACCTCTCCCAGAAACTCATCTCCGAACTTCAGATTGCTGGCGTTCCACAGATCCACCCTGAGAACACAGGTTACCGATTACTAGCACCAGTGCTGCTCATGCCAACTACAACTATTGCAAATCATCGAAATAAAAATATTATTTTTTTTATTATTTAGGTTTTTATGTACAAAAATTAAAACAGCTAACTAACTGAACTAAAATAGGTTTAAGATGAAGTATCAAAATTATTACAGTGAAATAAAAATGAGCTAAATTTAAAATAAATAGAAAAAATATTAATAAAAATGACAAACCCACATAACATAATTACTAAAACTTAAACTAAAATTAAAATGAAATTGAACTGAAAATATAAAACTAAAAAGCTAATTCAAAATATACAATAGAATATAAATTAATACTAAAATAGCAAAAAAATTATTTAGATAGTTGCACACACACATATACACTCTCACACACACACACACACACACACACACTCACTCACACACACACACACACACACACACACTCTCTCTCACACACACACACACACACACACACACTCTCTCTCACACACACACACACACACACACACACTCTCTCTCACACACACACACACACACACACACACTCTCTCTCACACACACACACACACACACACACACTCTCTCTCACACACACACACACACACACACACACTCTCTCTCACACACACACACACACACACACACACTCTCTCTCACACACACACACACACACACACACACTCTCTCTCACACACACACACACACACACACACACTCTCTCTCACACACACACACACACACACACACACTCTCTCTCACACACACACACACACACACACACACTCTCTCTCACACACACACACACACACACACACACTCTCTCTCACACACACACACACACACACACACACTCTCTCTCACACACACACACACACACACACACACTCTCTCTCACACACACACACACACACACACACACTCTCTCTCACACACACACACACACACACACACACTCTCTCTCACACACACACACACACACACACACACTCTCTCTCACACACACACACACACACACACACACTCTCTCTCACACACACACACACACACACACACACTCTCTCTCACACACACACACACACACACACACACTCTCTCTCACACACACACACACACACACACACACTCTCTCTCACACACACACACACACACACACACACTCTCTCTCACACACACACACACACACACACACACTCTCTCTCACACACACACACACACACACACACACTCTCTCTCACACACACACACACACACACACACACTCTCTCTCACACACACACACACACACACACACACTCTCTCTCACACACACACACACACACACACACACTCTCTCTCACACACACACACACACACACACACACTCTCTCTCACACACACACACACACACACACACACTCTCTCTCACACACACACACACACACACACACACTCTCTCTCACACACACACACACACACACACACACTCTCTCTCACACACACACACACACACACACACACTCTCTCTCACACACACACACACACACACACACACTCTCTCTCACACACACACACACACACACACACACTCTCTCTCACACACACACACACACACACACACACTCTCTCTCACACACACACACACACACACACACACTCTCTCTCACACACACACACACACACACACACACTCTCTCTCACACACACACACACACACACACACACTCTCTCTCACACACACACACACACACACACACACTCTCTCTCACACACACACACACACACACACACACTCTCTCTCACACACACACACACACACACACACACTCTCTCTCACACACACACACACACACACACACACTCTCTCTCACACACACACACACACACACACACACTCTCTCTCACACACACACACACACACACACACACTCTCTCTCACACACACACACACACACACACACACTCTCTCTCACACACACACACACACACACACACACTCTCTCTCACACACACACACACACACACACACACTCTCTCTCACACACACACACACACACACACACACTCTCTCTCACACACACACACACACACACACACACTCTCTCTCACACACACACACACACACACACACACTCTCTCTCACACACACACACACACACACACACACTCTCTCTCACACACACACACACACACACACACACTCTCTCTCACACACACACACACACACACACACACTCTCTCTCACACACACACACACACACACACACACTCTCTCTCACACACACACACACACACACACACACTCTCTCTCACACACACACACACACACACACACACTCTCTCTCACACACACACACACACACACACACACTCTCTCTCACACACACACACACACACACACACACTCTCTCTCACACACACACACACACACACACACACTCTCTCTCACACACACACACACACACACACACACTCTCTCTCACACACACACACACACACACACACACACTCACACACACTCACTTGAGCGCGAGCTTGTCCACGTCGTCCTCTTCCACGTCAAACTGGCGTTTGGTGTAGCTCAGCGGTTTGGTCACCTGTGAGAAAAAATAAAAACTTCTTATTTTGTCCTTCGTGGACAAAAGTGGGCACCCATAGGAAATACTACAATTCAGAGCCTTTTTTTATTTGTCCAATAAAAATCAATAAATCCAACACAATGCAGATCATACATACACATACAGTGGGTACGATATTATACTGATTTCTGAAGATCATGAGACACTGAAGACTGGAGGAATGATGCTGAAAATACAGCTGCGCATCACAGAAATACATTACATTTAAACAGATATTCACATAGAAAACAGCTGTTTCACACTGAAATAATATTTCACTCGTTTACTGTATTTTGGATCAATAAATGCAGGCTTGGCGAGCAGAAGAGACTCCTTTCAGAAACATTAAAAATCTTACTGAACCCAAACTTTTGAATGGTAGCGTATTTAAGAATTAATATGTGACCCTGGACCACAAAACCAGTCATAAGGGATGAATAAATAAGCTTAACATTGATGTATGGTTTGTTAGGATCGGACAATATTTGAAAATCTGGAATCTGAGGGTGCAAAAAAATCGAAATATTGAGAAAATCATCTTTAAAGTTGTTCAAATGAAGTTCTTAGCAATGCATATTACTAAGCAAACATTAAGTTTTGATATATTTACGGTAGGACATTTACTAAATATCTTCATGGAACATGATCTTTACTTAATATCCTAATGATTTTTGGCATAAAAGAGAAATGTATAATTGTGACCCATACAATGTATTGTTGGCTATTGCTACAAATATCCCCCAGCGACTCAACACTGCTTTTGTGCTGCAGGGTCACATATTATAATTGTATTTTGTTTTCCATTTTAAAATAAATAATAATTGATCAATTACTGCAAGCATGCTTTTATTTTTACAAACTGCTGTCCTGACGGCTGTAGGAACCGTGCCATTGGACAGATCTAATCTGCACTTATAAACTAGATGAGCGGCGATGCTTTCAGGTTTGATCTCACCTGGACGAGCCGAGTAACGAGACGGCAGCATACGGATCACACTGGTTATTCACTATCGGCAGATCCTGGCACTCCAGAACCCTGCGCAGAGAAAACACACACAACTCCATGTATGATCACGAGCACTCAGACTTGATAAATAAATATAAAAACATTTAATATACACGACCAGTCAAACGTTTTTGAACGGTAAGATTTTTAATGTTTTTTAAAGAAGTCTCTTCTGCTCACCAAGCCTGCATTTATTTGATCCAAAGTACAGCAAAAGCAGTAAAATTCTGAAATATTTTTACCATTTAAATTAACTTTTTTCTATTTTAATATAGTTTCAAATGTAATTTATTTCTGTGATTTTAAAGCTGAATTTTTAGCATCATTACTCCAGTCACACGATCCTTCAGAAATCATTCTAATATTCTGATTTGCTGCTCAAAAAACATTTATTACTATTATTTTTATTATTATTGTTGTTGAAAACAGCTGAGTATAATTTTTTCAAATAGAAAAAGATAGTTTCTTTGATGAATAGAAAGTTCAGAAGAACAGCATTTATCTGAAATAATCACTTTTGATCAATTTAAAGCATCCTTGCTAAATAAAAGTATTAATTTCTATAATTACTTTCTCAAAAAAAATAATTCAGACTCCAAGCTTTTGAATGGTATAGTGTATACATTTTTATTTCAGATAAATGCTGATCTTTGGATATTTCTATCCATCAAAGAATCCTGAAAAAAAGTACTCAGCTGTTTTAAATATTGATAATAATAATAATAATAATAAACATTTCTTGAGCAGCAAATCAGCAATATGTAAGTAATGATGCTGAAAATACAGCTTTGATCACAGAAATAAATGACAGTTTAACACATATTCACATAGAAAGCACTATTATTGTTTTTATACATTATTATACAGTTAATATAAATAGTAAAAATATGTCATATTTGCTTTTGCTGTATTTTGGATCAAATAAATGCAGGCTTGGTGAGCA